ATAGTTTCAATAGTAAATATGGAAGTGTTTCTGTCTCCACACACGCGCTTATTAGGGATAGGCACTTGTTTTAATCACAAAAAAATGTGCATTGTGCTTGGTTTGTTTTTTCAGTCCAAAATATTCTGATTTGTCAGAGACAACCAGGATCCCTGATGATAATTGTCATATATGTACAATAATTTCAACCCTTGTACAATCAATAATAGTAAATGTGTTCAAAACATACAATAATTTTTGAGGCAGCATATGCAAAATCCAAGTCACTCCCAGAAAGCCTTAACTAACCTTTTGGTTTGCTGTCAGTGTTTTCTTACAACTGCTTGCTTCAAAATAAATAAATTCTTTAGTTATGACCCAGTTCTCACTGGCTCTCCTGTGACTTATAGTACACAATGTAAAGTAAATAAGAAGATGACTTATTTGCATACTTACTTGCATGGGGTTTTTTCAGTGTACGATAGTTTCAGCAAACATGCTAATTTGCAGCTTCCAGTACAACGATTTCATATTCAAGACCTGGCAACACTGGTAGAAAGGACTGTAGGGCCCAGCATGGCAGAATGGGCTAGGAACAGTTCACAGCAGCCCATGTCCCTGTGTCTCTCCCTACACCCACTCCCGAGAGCAGAAGACCCCTGGTCTCGCTCCCTCTTCTGTTTTTTGTAAGGGTGAATTGGGGATAGCCAGTCCAAGTGGTGCTTAAGAGCCAGACTCTCTTAGACAGCGGTAGGAAGGAATTAAACCACCCTGTGGCCCTCATCAAGTGCACTGTGGTTGGTTTACAGCAGGGGCGGGCAATTATTTTGGGCAGAGGGCCGCTTACTGAGTTTTGGTAAGCCATTGAGGGCTGCATGACAGGCAGCTGGGGGCAGATAAATATTTTCTAAATTTTTTTAGTGGCCCCACAGGCCAGATAGAATGACCTGACGGGCCGCATTTTGCCCACCCCTGGTTTACAGTATGTACTGAAGATGCTCTTTTAAGTTCCTGACTCACATTTGGTTCCCCAGAGAGAGGTGGTAGCTCTCTTGTCCCCAGAGGACACCTGTGTCACACATGCTTTGGTGCATGGCAAGTTACCTTGGGGGCAGTAGGGGAGGCTAGGGCCAGCACTGTGCTGGCCACAGCAGCTTTACCCAGTTCCTGGGAGCATCCTGGGGCTGCAGCAGTAGCAATTCTGCCAGGCTGAGCCTGGCTGGTAGCAGAGCACTGCTCCAGGCAGCCCAGCTCCACTTTTCTGCAGTGCATGCTGTCTGTGCGTGCACTGCTCTGGGTTTTTTTCCCGCAGGTTTTTTTGATCCCTGGATATCCAGGGGTCAAAAAAACCCGGAGCAGCACACATGGGCAGTGCAGCCTTGCAGCACGGAGAACACCTGACTATGCAATATGTGGCGCTCGCAATATGTGTTTGCGACACCTCATACCCGCACTTGTCTGGACACACCCAGTGTAATTATTCCCATACCTGATAACCTTGTAACTGGGTGCTCAGCTGTCCTGGCAGTGGGCCCTGTATAACAACCCTTCAGGTTGTTATAGTACCTACCTGCCAGCTAAGCCTGAAATCCAAGATAAAGTGTTGCAGTCATCTCCCCCTGCCTGCCATAGAGAACATAACGGGCAAAAGAGAAGCGAGTTCTTAATGGCTAGAAATCTGCAGCGAAATGATTGCAGAAATAAGTGTGTCTTAATGAGCCTGCTTTCATATCAACTAACTGTTTGTATGTGTTTTGTTTTGTAGGCTTAAGCATCTCTGCCTCATCCTCCTTACAAACTGACAGTGGCAAAGGGAAATTTTCCTTATCGGGGAGTAAGAAGCTCTTTTTTGACACTCATGCTCTTGTGCGTCTCTTGGAAGAAAATGGTAAGAACATAAGAATTACTGTTTACTGGGTCAGGCCATAGGTCCATTTCTCCCAGTGCACTTGTTTTGAACCTTTGACCTTCACTCCATCCCTGCTTTCTTCTTTAGTTGTCTCCAGTAATCACTTGATGTGCATTCAGTGTCCCTGTTTGAAAGAGGACTTTTAGCTTTACTTGGTGGGCATTGGTCCACATTCCCAAGGCATGTCAAATAGGCCTATGTCACACAGTGGCAGAGAGTAGATGCTAACGGGACGAGTGAACTGAATCTAATCGGGGGGGGTTTTCAGTGTTCCTCTCACTTGCAGCCTCCAGCAGTTTAGGTCTAGGAAATTCTGATTCAGAGGCTGTACCCCTAACTCACATGCTCAGTAGCTACTGATGCCCCTTTCCTCCAAGCATCTGTCCATTTCCTTTTTGAATCCAGCTGAACTGTCAGCTTCTACAACATCTGGTGGCAATGAGTTCTACATTTTAATGACACAGTGGATGCATCTACATGTGCATTAACGTGCTTTTCGTAATGCGCGCTAAATTTAGTACCTCCATTGTGAGGCACTAAATAAATGCTCATTAGGCTGCCATAATGCACCGTACCGAGAGTGCCTGTTTTTTATCTGACACTTGATGTGCAATCACTTACTTTACTGTGCATTAGCATAATTGCACATTTTTTTTACATTTTAATGCTCAATAAAATAGGCTACTGTGCATTTAAGTGCACATTTAGATGTGCCCAGTATTTCAAAAAGAACTTCCTTTTGTTAATTTTAAACTTACTGCATATGTTACAAATTATACACCTATGTAGGGAGACCTAAAACTTACTATTGCCAAGGTCAGGTTTCATTACTTGTTTATTTTGTTACTCTTATATAAAGTTTAAAGACTAATTTTAATTTAACTTATTTGTTCAAAGTAGAATAAAAATGCTAATTCAAGGTAATAGTTGAGATTTTATAAAACATGCATATTGATGGTAATACAAATATCGAATCAATGCCAGTTTTAAATAACTGAACAAATTCTCATCTTAATGGAATTACCTGGCTCAGTGCCCATTGTGACAGTTAACTGTTACTTAATTTGCAGCAATTTCAACTCCACATGCTTAAATAGTCATTGTATTACTGACTCAATGATGTATTTTAAATTTGAAAAGCTGAAAGTGTTTTTGGGGGTTGTGTTGTTTTGCAAAAAGCCTTTTCCTGTAATATGTTGCATGCAGTTGGTAGAAGAACTAGTAGTAAATTAAATCAAAATATGTTTCACTTCTCTGAGTACTGCATTTTTACAAGGATTGAAAAGCTGACATGCATAAAACCAGGCTTTTTTTTTTAATTTATTGGGGGGAGAGGTATTTACTGCTTTTTTTTTTTTTTTTTGATAAGCAGTATAGAGGTTAGGTTGCTGCCCTTGAAGTAGCAGGATTGTAACTTTTAACAAGTTGTTTGCTCACAAAAGCACTAAGCATGAGAGAAAGATAATTATATATACATCTATTCTCCCTCCTCCCAAAATTCCAACATAAAATGTTGCTGTTCAGAGAGAGAGAGTGTTGTGCTATAGGAACATTTCTTTTGGTTTGTTTTTTGAGTTATGTTGGAGCCATCATTTTCAATGTAGAAAATGTGTTCATTATGTGTACTGTAATGTCATGTTCTGCTCTTAGTTCTGCATGGAGACAAGTATGTTTGTAGCTTTTGCCATGATTCTTGTAATATTTCTTTCATACTGAATTAGTAAGAGGCATTTCTAAAAGATCTTTATTAGTTTTGCTATCTTATTTTTTGGGGGGGTTCTGCTTTGTTTAGGATTCACTACTCTGCAGTCCGAGATTATTGTATCTGCCTTAGTGAAAATCACAGACACCAATCTAGATCTTATTTACAAGGACATGGTCACCAAAGTGCAGCAGGTAAGTACAGGACGGCAGCGGATTTAAAGAAAATCAAAATCTAGTGTTCCTACTAATAAAATAAGTTTTTGAAGGAACAACTTTGTACTAACCCTTAAATTCTTCAAAAGCAAAGAAATTCAGAGTTAAAATGAGAGAATAAACTTCACCATATATATATGTTGGATAATTGAGTTATGGTGTGGTACAAACTATTGTAAATTTCATTCTGCGCAGCATAAATGCAGACCGTTTGCAATATGTACCTACATCTTTGGATTGGAATAAAGCTGGCTAGATTGTTTTTAGATGACAGTGAGAAATGAAATATGTGATGCACACAAGTCACTTATGCCATAGGAAATATAGTGGATAGGTGCAGATCTTCCACAGAAAACATATTACAAGGATGAAGGGGTTTCTTCAGTTACCTTATTTAACCAAATCCAAGGGGATTGAAAAAATTCAAACTTGAATTGAAGATGACCCCTCCCCCAATAATTAGATTCTATACTTGGAAAATGTATACATTTGTTTTAGTTTTCCATGTATAAATTTTAATTATTGGAGGATCATATTAAATTTCTGCACACCACCACTGCAGTGGGGGAAGCAGGGGTTAGGGGGTCAGGAGGTGGGGGAGGCAGTAGAGGGGCAAGCAGCTTGGCCCCTGTCACATCCCATCCACTTGCCCTCACCTCCCTTCCCTGTCTCCTCCCACCCCTCCAATTCTTGCCTCCCACTAGCTATCATTAATAGTGCAGTTCCTATAGGTTCTTCATAAATGTCTGTTTTGTGCTGGCTCTGTTAACTTGGTAAGATTTAAAATGGTTAACTTGAGCTCAGATCGTAGTTGCTTCACCACATTCCTTTAAAAATGCAGGTGCCAAACCCAAGATGTATAAGGTTCTAAAATGATTGCCTTCAGTCTCATATATTGAAATGGCCTATATACAACATTTGGATGTAGATGAGAAATTTTAAGAATATTGCATTTATGCTTAAGCTGAGTTCTTCTTTCAAAGGAAATCGCTCTTCAGCAAATAATGTCTCATATTGGTGGTGTGAAAAAGGACATGGTAATTTTGGAGAAGAGTGAATTTTCAGCACTCCGGGCAGAAAATGAGGTAAAATCCAACATCCTGCAAACAATTATAGCACTGTTTTATAGGGGATAGAAAAGTAACTTTTTATTTCTTGTAACTATATTACTTGACTATATTTCTTGTGACTATATTACAAGAGAGAAAAACTGAGACACCCTATCCACCTGGCCATGAAGAATGGCATAGTGAGAACACGTGATGTAGAAGAAAGTTTTACATCAAGCGTTGTTTTTGTTTTAAAATTTGTGTATGTTGCAGGAATGGGGAAACCTAAAATTAAATAGTTACAGTAGTCGGTGTGAAGAGTTGCTTGTACAGCTTTCAACATGGACAATCTGGGATTTTAAAAAAGCGGGGTGCAGATGGTGTGGTGCATCATTACATATAAAACGCATACATTTTCCTCCAGTTACAAAGAAACTAGAAGGTTTACTAACATGCTAGTGACCCAGCACTATTTATTCAGTTTAAAATCAAAGACAACTACAACTTTATTGGAATGTGCACTCATATGCTAGATTTATATATAAAATTTAAAAAAACCAACAAACTAGGCAAAAATAATTGAACACAAAGTATTGTTTTATTAGTCCTGTAGTTGTTATAGTTTTCCATCTCTTCTTCAGATTCATAAAACAAAATCTAGCCTTCTTGAGCATCTTGACAATGCAGTCAGCACTTCACTGTCAGTCATTTCTACACCCAAAGGTCTGCAGGGTTGTGAAATGGAAGAGACATTACCATGAATGGCTAAAAAACAGCAAAATTGCATAAGAAGGAATGGTTTGAATAGTGGAGCATCAAAACTGAAAAGAAGAGAGGGTTATTAATTCTTGTGAAATGGAGAGATTAGCAGAAACCAGAGAGATGATAATGAGCCATGACATTGGTTGAATAGAAATGCTGCTGCCCCTTCCATGCAGTTGATTTTAATGTTTGGACAGAGGAAGAATAAAAGGTGAATACAGCTGTACCAGTACACCTCCCCGCCTTCCCCAGCTCCCAGTCACCTGAAGTAATTATTTACGTAATTCAAAAAATATAGATACAGAAGTTAGATAATCATTAGTTGAGTCTGTGGATTATGAAGTCATTCTAGGCTTAAGACAAAAAATTAAATACTCTTGTAATGACAGAGATCCACTCATCCTCTTCCTAAAATGTAAGTATATTCTATCACTATTATTTCTATTTCTGCAGGTCAGTCCAAATAAGTATAATTAGTCCAGTGAAGAGGTAGAACCTTAGCCCTCCAATTTGTTAGATATTGTTAAACAGAAGACATTAGCTTTTTATGTCTTTAAACCTTTTGATTTTTGTAAATACTTGAGAAGTAGGAAGCCTGCTGGAGAATCGGGCAGGTTAGATGGTGAGGGAGGTAAACTGAGCAGAAAGGAGGATGAAGCCGTAGCAGAGAAGCTAAATAAATTGTTTATATTGGTCATTCAAGTAGATAATGTTGAGGAGGTTCCAACACCAGAGCTGTCTTCCTAGCAGGTAATATGAAGAATTATCTTAAATTGAGGCAGTGATAAAAGGTTTTAGAGTAAATTGATAAACTGACCCGTAACACATCATCAAAACCAGAAGATATTCTGAGTTCTGAAGTAAGTTAGATATAAAATTGGAGAACTGTTAGCAACAGTATGCAACTTGCTGCTTAAACCAGCTTCTGTGCCAGAGGACTAGAGGGTTGACAGTAGAGCATCAATCTTTAGTTTCCTAGATCACTTCTAGGAAAGACTTCAGTTAGCTGAGAATAGAATGGAGTCTAATTGGTAAAATCTAGGATTTAGAATAGAAAAATAGAATTAATAATTCCATGGGTAATTGTGGCATGCTGGAGAAGAATCCACGTGGATTTCATCAAAGGAAATCATGTCTTGCCAGTGTGCTGGGGTTCTTCGAGCATGTCAGCAAGTAGGTAGGGGTCTATTGTATCTGGATAATTCTGGGGTGGGGGGAAGGGGGATTTTCACCATTACCCCCTGCTCCTCAAAAGCATTTTATGTGATCCTTCACCAGAGGCTTTTGCAAAAATTAAGTTGTCATAGGATCTGAGTAAAGGTCCTCTCAGGGACTGAAGACTGGTTAAAGTCAGGAGGCAAAAAATAGACATAAATGCTCACTTTTTCTAATGAAGGAAAATAACCCTAATACGTACTTAGTGATGGATTCTCAATTACCTGCTACTGCTCAGGAAAGAGATCTCAAAGTCATAGATAGTTCTCTAAATGCACGGGCTCAGTGTGAGTGATGGTGAGTGAGAGAGGCAAATAAAATGTTAGGAATTGTTAGGAAAGGAGTTCAAAACAAAATTAAAAACCTCGTGTCATTATATAAATCCATGATGTTCCCATATTTGGGATATTGTGTGAAAGAGGATGTAGCAGAACTGGAAGAAGTACATATAAGTACAATAAATATAATTAGGGTTATGCAACAGCTTCCATGAGCCAGCTAGAACTCTTCAGCTTGGAAGAGATTACCTAGGACCATATGATACAAGAGTATAACATCATGAGTGGTGTGGAAAAAGTGAAAAGTTATTAATTACTGTCTCTCAACACAAGAACTAGGAGGCACCTGATGATTTCAACAGGCAGCTGGTTTAAAACCAAGAAAAGCTTGGAGTCTTTACGCAACTTAAGCAAGATCTGGAACTTTGTGCCACAGAATGTTACAGTAGCCAACACTATAACCAGGTTCAAAAGGGGATTAAACAAATGTCTGCAGACTAGGTCCATGACTGTTAAACAACAGTCAAGGATGTAACCTCAAGCTTAAGGTGTGCTTGACCCTGTGCTTTCAGGTAATTGAGGGTCTAACCTGGAATGAATCGCTACACATGACTTGTTGTTCGTACTCAGTCTATAAAGCAATGATTATGTGCCACTTTTGGACACAAGATGCTGGTCTGACCAGTATGTCAGCTGCTGTTAATTAATAAGACAATTAGATGTCTACTTGATGCTCCTGAATTGCATAATGTTAATTGGAAATATGATCTAGTGCAGTTCTTAACTGGGGTGCCTTGAGATCCTTTCAGGGGTCCTACACAGTGTGAGTGCAGTTAGATGTAGAAATATGACATGTAGGATTAGCCCAGAGTTTTCAAATAGGAATCTATAGTGATAAATGCATTTTGACCTGTTGGCAGACACAGTTCTTTGGGTGAATCTGATATCTTTTATTAGACCAACTTAAATAGTTGGAAAAAATGTTTAGCAAGATTTTGGGTTAAAAAACCTTTGCAATGAAAGAATTGCTGTATTATTTTACTGTATTAAAAATGAGAGAGAATTAAAAGGTGGTATTTTCCAAGGGTGGTATTTAGCTTAAGTCTAAAAAGCTTGAAAACCACTGGTCTAGTAAAACTGAATTATTAAGACCAAATTTCTTGGAAGGATTAATGATGGAAGCTGCAGTTATGCATGCTTGTCAGAGATTTTTTTGAAAAGTAAATAATTGACACTGTAATCTCTGTTCCTGTTTAAAAGCATACAGCCTGTAGTGAGCAAGAATTATCTCAAGAGGAGGTAGCCAATCTCTAAAACTAGAAGGAAACCAGAAATAGGCATGGTTTATGGAGCATTAGTAGTGTCAGTACCCACTGTACAAATTCACCAGTATTCCTTGACCACTTCATTATATGTACTTTTACAGCAGATTTCTAAATGTTTCTTGCTTTTTTTTTTTTTTTTTTTAGAAAATTAAACTTGAACTCCAGCAGCTGAAGAAACAAGTAATGGTAAGATATTACTGTGCATGTGTGTCAGTATTTAGAGGCGTAGTGGCAGGAGTGGATTCATTTAAATCACCAAGTGGAGCATTGTGATTTGACTGTCAGTTTCAGTCAACTTCCTCGTTTGTGCTTCTGCTAGTTTATAGAGAGAGGTGCATTCTCATTTTTTTTTGGCATCTCAAAACGCACAGATTTACAATTAAAAATAACTTTACCAAATGTACTCTTGTTATGTTTTGCCTTAGGTATGCTCAGTGGATAATCCTAATGAAATACATAAAGGTGTCTCCTAGCCTCCCAGTCCAACTCCTTTGAATTTTCCAGTCTCTTGCACTTACTAGCACAGCTCCTAGGTCTCTCTGTATTGTATATGGATTATTCTGCCATATTTATAGAATAAAAATTTTATAAATAACATTCTAAGAATAAAATTTCAAAAATATGCTCTTTTGGAATGGATACCAATGTCCATTGTTTTCAATGTTAATGAAGTCAGCTGCTTTCAGGCTAAGGCCATGGACAGACATTCATTCCTACCAGTAAGAATTTCTCTGAAATTCTTTTCAGTAGAAAAATAGCAAGGGGAGCTAAAGGAAAATAGCCTGTACTCCTTGCTTTCCACTGAGCAGACCCAAAGGAGTGCAGGGGGAGGCAGGGGGCATTCTACCATGGTGGCAAGTAGGGCTGTGCGAAGCTTCAGTTGCTGATTTCAATTCAGCAACCGAATCTCTGAATCAGTTCGGAGAGATTCAATGATTCAGACATAGACACAGCTTTAAGTGTTTTTTCTACATACCTCAAGGTACCAGGCAGCTCGTGAACACTGAGATGGTGGGGCGGATGGAGCATCCCACAGGAGTGCGGTGGACCTGGAAATGGACCAGGAGCACTTCTGGTCCAGTAACAGGTCCACCACAGAGCACTTGGGGGACCCGCCCCCTGGCTCAGTGACTGGTGCCTCCTGGGTCTGGGGGGGGCACCCAGGGTCCCCCCACGGCCAGTCGCTGGGGGGGCCCACACACTCGGCAGAAGACCTGACCCCCATTCGTCCCTCCTCCCCGTGCGCGCTCCTGTGGGACGCTCCATCCGCCTGACCATCACAGTGTTCACGAGCCGTGCCTGGTACCTCGAAGTATGTAGGAAAAGCATTTAAAGCTGTGTCTATGGCTGGCTCGCTGATTCTCTGAATCAGAATCAAATCTCCCAGTTCCGCCAAATTGAATAGGGACAGTGATCCAAATCAACGAATCAAATTGGGCCGAATCCAAATCAAATACGGTCTGCTTTGCACACCCCTAGTATCATGGTTTCCCAAGCCTTGTCATGCAGCACAGCAGTCTGCCTCACCCTGCCAAGCTTTGGGCTGACCTTGCCTTGCCCTGCACTGCTCCAGGGAATACTGTCATAGCAGGAACCCCTTCTGGGAGGTTTTCTGTTATCAGCTGATTGTTTGGAAGGAGATTGATTTTTCAGGACAGGGTCCCCACAGGGCTCCCAGACAGGGACCCAGGGCGCTCACTCTCTCCCTTGGAGGAAGGGAGGGAGACTGAAAGACTGGGATATCGAGTGTCCTTCACACCTGAGAGAAGTATTCTAGCATTCACATTAGATTACATTAGATCAGAAGGTGGAAAATCTTTCTCATAGGTACTCAACATCACGTTTTGCAGAAGAGCCATTTCTTTTCCACAAGAAATCTTGTGAATAGCTAGCTACATGCAGATATTTTTCTCCCAGCACAAATGTAACACCTATTCATGGCCTGAGATATTCATCAGATTGCTCCTCTCAGCTGAAACGAAAGAGCACATTCCATTCCTATCTTTCTCAAGTCAGGGTTTGTGCACTGAACCATCAAGATACTGACATGTTTAGACCATGTAATACTGTTCTAGCTTCTGTCCGTTCTATCCCTTTCCTTTTATTTTGATATCCCTAGTCATCATGGGTAAACCTAGACTGTGTGCTTTTCGGGGCTAATCCTTTATCTTTCTATATGAATTGTAAAATGTTTAACACCTCAAATATAACTTCAGTATTTTACATTTTTAATTATTTTTAGATGGTCCTAATAATTGTGTTGAATAGTCATTTCCTGTTACACAAACTATATCTGTCACAAATCACTGTCTCAACCTGGTAGATTTTAAAGGGGTTTGAGAAAAATGTGAAACGTATTTTTCCCTTCTGTTGTGACATAGTTTAGTCTGTAACATTGCAGTCACATTGTTATGTTTGTTCTGCCTTCTAAAACACTGAAAGTGACGCATTGTTTTGTGATAGACTTTGTTAAAAAAAAGATTGTTAAGGACTGTAAGTTCATCTAATTGTAAAATGTTACAGATATTATATTTAAGCAAATTTAAAAACTGGTGACAGCAATTGTTAAGTTAAGTATTTATCAAGCTAACAAACTTTGATTACCTAACACTGGTTCCTGAAAAAATCCATGCTTGTTTCTAATAGTAGAATTTCTTGGAATCTTCACCAGTCTTCTTTATGTACACACATTCATCTGGTGAGCACCTTATCTCATGGTAACTGTCAGCTGACTGGATTTCCTGCTGGGAAATTGCAGTAAAATGGCAGCTATCACTGAAAAGCTGCAGTGCCATGTACCAGCTGCTGAGGAAGTAAGAAACCGACATGTAGGTCTACAAATAGAAGTCCTAAAAAAGAGCCCTTGAGCTTTTAGGTGTCTTTTCCTTTTTGAACAGTTGAGCATATTTGCTGTCGTCTTCGGAAACAGATTTTTTTATATGCTGCCATAAAATCTCATAAAAACAATTACCTCTGCTGTAACCTACCCATACGTTTCCTCCAGCCAACACAGTTATTTGTACTTGGATTGTATGAAAAGTACTAAGCCTCCATGCAGGGATTTACTGCTTTGCTCTGGATTGCTTTCTAATGTCAGTGTTTTCACCCATCTTCATGTTTAATGCATCTTTATGTGCTGTGAGAACTCATGCAGCTTAACAAGAGAAATATCCACTGATTCTGGTCTCTGATAGGGAGCAAATTAATGAACCATATATATTCTAAGTGAACTTTGAATGCAGTTTTGTTTGTTTTTTTCATATCTTTCAAAATTTTTCTCTAGGATGAAGTTACCAAACTTCGTACAGATAACAAGTTAGACCTCAATTTAGAGAAGAGCAGAGTAAAAGAACTGGTATGTTTTATGGATTTCTTCAAGGAATATATAAAATCTAGTACTGTCTGAAATAGTTTAGATAAAAACACAATGTTCATGGTGGTCCATAAAACCTTTTGTCCCCAGAAGTATCAGTCACAATTAGTCGTCATAATGCTATTATAGTTTAAGGTGACATGTATTCAGTTTCTATGGGTTTAACACACTTTGACATTGTATTTTACAATCAAGATTATTAAGAAGTAGTTAAGTGCAATAATCGTTCTAATAAGCTTTTCTTTTAGGGGGTTTAATTTAATGTAGATGTATTTCTATTTTTGTAGCTAAATTAAACTTAAATAGTTTTTTAGATTATGTAAATTAAAAATATACTGTGTCCCCACAAATAGAGAACTAACATGTTGTAGTCTGTAAGTCAGGCAATAGCTAGTATGAACATCATTGTCATACAGACTTAATGATTACACGGGTGGAAAGGGAAGATGACATACTGTGGTTTTTAAATTGCTTTGTTATGACTGTTTTGTTTGTCCATTCCATTCTTCAGTAAATAGAATTTAGCAACTGTATCACTTAGTGTAAGGCGCCCTAGTTCAGGTTCACCTGCTGTGGAATAGGAGTGGATACACAACAGCTACTTTGGAAAAATTGACACATTTGTGAGCAGTAAGTCCCTCACTTATTTTAAAGCTAAATAATTGTTTCATCTATTCATGACCTCATGCTTAGGGAGCAGCTAGTTAGGTCAGTTGGTTAGAGTATGGTAATAACATCAAGGTTCCAGGTTCACTCCCTGGTTGGGGAAGTGATCTCTTTCAGATCGCAGCATGGGAGGTTTAGGTTGGATACTAAGAAACCCTTTCTCACAAGAAGGGTTGTGAAGCACTGGAACAGGTTACCCAGAGAGGTGGTAGAATCTCCATCCTTCGAGGTTTTGAAGGCCTGGCTCGATAGAGTCCTGGCTAGAATGATCTAGTTGGGGGGTGGGCCTGCTTTGAGCAGGGGATTGGACTAGATAACCACCTGAGGTCCCTTCCAGCCCTAATTTTTCTATGATTCTGTGCTTGTCCTCATTCAGGGGTGGGCAAAATGTGGCCCACTGGCCAGATGTGGTCCACCAGGCCATTCTATCCGGCACATGGGGCCCCTAAAAAAATTGAGAGAATTAATATTTATTTGCCCTTGGATGCCTATCATGTGGCCCTCAACGGCTTGCCAAAACTCAGTAAGTGGCCCTCTGTCTGAAATAATTGCCCACCCCTGTCCTAATTCATCATATGCAACAGGCTGAGAAGGCAGCAGGGATCCTGATTATACTGTTTGGGTCCCTATACGGTGATCTTTGCCAGACTTTTAAGGCTGGTGAAGAAACAGGGATCATTGAAAATGGGAAAGAGAGACAAAGTTCAGTTGTGCAAGTGAAGAGGAAGTTTAAATGTATGCATTATAGTAGCTCACTATGACTTGGAAAAGAGTTGGCATTGAGGTGGACTCAGCACAATGGGCACATATTTTACTCAGATGGGCTAAACTAACCTAGGCTTGTGGTGGGTTCCTATCAGCGTTTTTGGCAGCTGGGCAAGGTGTCAGAGCTTGCTCGAGTCTCTCCAAGTGCTGGCTTGATGTTGCAGTATCTCCAGGTCTGGTGCTCCTTTCCTCCTGGGGAAGCAACTGCCTTTTTTTAAGGGCCACACACACACACAAAAGTTTCCATCAGTACATTTGCCCAAGAGGGGCCATGTGTTTTATAGTCATACTCACTGTTGGCTGCATTTTATCAGCTTCCTAGTTGATTTCCATTACTGAGCACATACTGCCTTTGGGAGCAGTTTAATGATAGATGATATATTTAATGAGGTTTCCTTGTATACAAATGTAAGACAAGGGTCTTTTTTCCCAATGCTGATTGGGAGAAGGTGGGTACCTCGTCTTGTATTCAAGTAAATACCGTATATTAAGTTTTGGTGTGTGCTGTCATATATTTTAAAAAATAAGAAGTGAAGGTGGATGTATTTTGTTGGCCTCTTTACTCACGAGAATCTTTCCTACCTTGAACTATATTTATGTCTGCAGTAAGTGTAACATAAGCTGTTAATATGATCTGGTAATTCAGTTAAAGAACTCAAGGGCTCGGAGAATAGGTCTTGTCTATATAATGACGTTTGGGAAAGTTGATCTGAATCAACTTTTAAGATGAAGTAAGCTTGCCAAGGGAGTTAAGCTAAATGAAATTGTGGATAATTTTAACTCCGAATAAAATTGTACACACAACTTGTTTAACGTTTAATTTTAACCTTCCATTTTATGATCCTAAGTCTAAATACAGTTGGCAAGCACACTGAATTTTTCTGATTAGGAATTACCATAATGATGTTGAAAATTAGGAAACGGTCTAATCTGAAACTAAAGTGTAATTCATGTGTGTACGTGTTCTCCATTTTGTTTTTTCTTTCAGTATTCACTTAATGAAAGAAAACTACTGGAAATGAGGTCAGAGATAGTGGAATTGGTAAGGACTGAAGAACTGATCATTGAATTATGTAATAACATTTTGTTATATTGATACTATAAACTTGTGCAAACAGGTCTTCCTCCAGCACGGTACATGTATCACTGGGAGTCGAACAGTATGTTGAGGAAGGCTTGAAACTCTTAGTACCTCAGCCAGCCAGCAATTCCAAATGACTTGTGTTTCCTGTGTTTGTATCTTTGCTCTGGTAGCCCACTCCTTAAGCATGTATTCCAGTCCCCTTATTTGGGCAGGGGGGGAGAAAAGAAAGGCCATTTTTCTATTCAGAGATTTAGCAGGTTAAACAGGTTCTAGACTTGTTGTTCTTTAACCTCAGTGTGCAGAGCGCCTTTCAGAATGGAAACTTAAGGTTGAATGATTTCAGAAACAGTTCCCAAGATAGTCAGTGCTCCATAGATCTTGAATAACCTTTGTGTTCCTATGTGTGAACATCACTGGTAGCCAGAATCATTCTGAGATCAGGAATAACCATTTTATTTGAACAGTGCCTTTTTAATCTGTGACCAGCTCCTTGGGTGTTCAGAGGTTAATGATTATGCGCTGTTGAGATAAGAGATGTCTAGTTCTACCACTTTATGGTATACTAGGAAAAGTGCAATCATTCAGGTTTCCTATGTTCATTAAATCATTTAATTCCTGAAATACAGATTCATTTCAAACCAGAAAAATAGCTCTTGACACTGTCCTACAGATTTTATATCTCTTGTATCAGTTTGTCCAAAGTGATCTGGGCCTTTAAGGTAATATCATGGGAGAAATTTGATGGAGTACAAATGCAGTTCACCTTGGAATGCTTGTCTATATGCACATTCTCACTGTGGGTTCACATCTCAAACACTTGAGCTCATAGATTTTCTGCCATAGCAGTACGCATGCAGTATGGAACAGCACACCCTTTTGTTGCTTTCTGCTGTGGATGTAAAGGGTGATGTATATATCCTCCTTCCTTCAGACCAGAGACCTCATTGTGAAGAGCCTTGTGTACGTACTTCTACCTGCATAGGATTAAGTTTTCCAGAAAGTCTGCCTGGCTGAATCTTCTGGCTAGAGAGACAAAGTTGCAGCCATTTCAACTTGGCAACTATCCAAGCCATTTCAGCTTGGTGACTTGGATTGTGTTAAAATGTGCTTTGATACTAAATCCATTTATGGTTAGACTTCGTTCCACCAGAGCTGAAGTGAATTTGGTGACTTCCCTAAGAAATATCTCTATATCTGGCATTTGCAGCCTGGGATTAGAATTCAAAATCACCCTGCTGGATTCCATAAATGATCCAAAATGAATAATAACCAAAGCAAATGCACAATACAAAATGGGGAATCACATGTCAGCTTCCAATTTTTGGAAGTTAAGAACAGGCAGCACAAACATCTGCCAGGGTTGTTCTAGGTCAGCAGTTGGCAGCCTTCTCAGGTTGTGGGCCAGAATGACCCAGCTCAGGTTAGAGGTGTGTGAGTGAGCTGGTGTTACATCCCGGCTGCCACTGCTGCTTCTCCCTGCAGCGTCTGGAGAGATCACCTGCTGCTAGAGTCCCCTGCCACCAAATGCTGCCAACGCCTAATGTTCACAGGCCAAATTAAATGGCTCCACACACCGTAGATTGCTGACCCCTGCACCACATAATACATAGTCCTCCATCAAAGGGGATGGACTAGAAAACTTTTAAGTTCCTATATTTCTGTGAGCTTTCTATATTATGTAATGCGTATCAAGTGCTTTGGAAGCAAGATCCAAAGTTAATACAAGTAGGCAGTTGCAGAGAGGGGGAAAGCTCATGCTGCATCCTCAATTACAGGCTAGTGCTGGTAGAGTTCTGGGAAAGATTTAAAATATGGTCAGATTGTATTTATTCTGGCAGAACCCCTTTTGATTTTTGCTGGGAGTTTGATTAAGGCTGCAGGAACAAAAAGCTACAGGTCAAATTTAACTAGAGTAACGTTTAAAAAGTCAAACTGCAGATCTCTTAGGCCTGTAGATGTGCTGGGAGGCTGTTCTGATGCACTGTAATTACAGTGTGGTGGAGCAGACTTGCTGGAGTGTGGTAATTACCACACTCCAGCAGCTTCCCACATCTTGTATCAGCGTCTCCACACTTCAAAACAATGGCAGGGGTGCTTGAACCCAAGCTCATCAAATGAGCTTTAGTTCAAGTTCAACTACTCCTGACACCATTTTGAAGCACAGGGATGCTGATACACAAGATGCTGCAGTGCAAAAGTGGCTCTGGGAGCTGCTCTAATTAAAGTGCCTCCTGATGCCCCCCGAGCATGTGTAAATGTGCCCTTAGTTTGAAAATAAAGTTTTATGATGGAATCTAAAGTTAATTATAAACATTGGCAAGACATCACTGCTGTTAACAAATCTATATGGATGTTATTAGCCCGTGGTTGGCAACTTTTAATAAGCCTTGGGTGGGAACAACCCAGCTCCAGCTTGATGCAGGCCAGGTGGCTTTGGTGATGCAATCATGGGCAGGGCTTTTCCTACACCCACAATGCGACAGACAGCTGGGAGCTGCGCCAATGCTGCCACCACCACTTTGTTCTCCCTCCACTTCTGCTTGTGGGCTCAGCTTCCAAGCAGCAAGGAGTTGCACTGGGGCTGCGGAGCTTCAAACTGCATCTGTACTGCCGCTTCTTCTTTCCACCCCTCTGCCTCCCAGCTGCAGCTTCTAGCTGTACCCACACTGCAGCTGGGAGGCAAGGGTCAGGGATAATGGAGAGAAGAGGCAGCATGGATGCAGTGTGCATGTGAGGCTCCCCAATGCTGCATGTTGCTAACTCCTGTTATAGCAATTTTAAAAAGCAGTACAGCAGACCAATACGTTTTATCCTCATTCCCCTGAATCTAGCCAAATTAATTTCCAGTATGCTATGGCAACTCTGGCTAATTTAATGTTGCTGTTTAATATCAGTTGGTATTTTGTGGAAGAGAGAAAGGTTTAGCTACAGAATTGGCCAAAAAGACTTGGTCTTAGTTTTTAACAGGTACTTCAATTTAAGCATGAAATACAAACCAAAAATATAATAGCGAGAAGGAACAGACCTAGTTTTAACCATTCCGATTCAAATTGTTCAAATAACTTGGTCTTTTGCTTTGTTCTAGCATGCGCAGCAGGATCGAGCCCTGACCCAAACTGATAGGAAAATCGACACAGAAGTTGCAGGGTTGAAAACAATGCTTGAATCGCACAAACTTGATAACATTAAATACTTAGCAGGTAAGGAGTTCTGATAATCAGATCTGTAGAATCTGATGCAGGTGTTTGTTCAGCTCTTAACCTACTTTCATATAGGCCCTGGTTTAGCAGGGTAATAAACCCTGCATAATCTCACTGATGTTTATTAGATTACTCAGGTGCTTTAAATTGGGCATCTGCTTAAATATGCTGCTGAATTGCACAACATTTTTCACAGGTTGTTTAGTATATAATGGAGACTTGTCTATAAACTGGAGTACTTTAGTTGATACCATTATTGTTCCATATACTTTGTGCTTGAGTACTCTTTCATTCTTCAATAATGCGTCTATAAGGAACACCCTTCATAATAATCTGTTTCCTGTGTTACTACTTAGGTCATTCTTATGTCCTGGCTCTTCAGTGTCTATTTTTAACTGCTAAATATACAATGTTGTTTGTTAATTGAACAGGTTGGCAGTAAGGATGTCTTCATTTTGTATATGAGTTTTCATCATCCTAATAAAGGTTATAGCAATGATGCAAGCAGTTAAAATTATTCATAATAGCATTCCTACCCTATTTTAGAGAGATCATTCACTAAGATGCCATTACTTATAGGTAAAGAAGAATGTATTAGGAAGAGATTTTCCCCCCTTTTCCTATCAACAAATCTCAAAATTGCTTACTATTGTATGACTGCTGTTTATAGGCATCAGCAGTAAAAATACCTTTAGTAAAAATGCCTTTTAATTTTTTCCAAGATGAATATCTGAAGGAAATAGAAAATTCTTGTAACTTATAGAATCCTTTGTTAAATAACTTTATGTAAATATTACCAAATTATTCATAATCTGTCTATTGACTGAAGTTTAAAAAGCTGTTTGCAGGATAGGCTTTTCTACTAATATTGTGTGTTTATTTCCTAATTTCATAATCATAACTTGCCATATTGAACTTATTTGAAATGGTAAACAAGTATGGGATTTTTCCAATCTTATTTGGTGTCCAGACCATTTTTCCTGCAGTCACTCCTTCCTTGTCATTTTGTGGTCACTGTGCCACCAAAGTTGGGTTTGTGCTCTGCAGGTTAGTATCTTATTTTCTTGAAAGAAAGAAAGAACAAGGCTAAAGATGCTAAGTTCTTATTATTTTAACAGTAACTATGTGTACAGCTGGCTGAAGGAGTTTTACAAAAATTAATGATATATTCTGCCTTTTTCCCAACTGCTGTTTTTTTTTTTTCTGTCTTTCAGGTTCAGTATTTACATGCCTTACTGTAGCACTGGGATTTTATCGTCTATGGATGTAATAAAGTGTCTACTTAAAAGGACTTGTACTTTCTTGCCTTATGAAAATCAAGGATATTTTCACTTTAGCTACAAGAATTTATTCCTGACTGAAAAATAATGTTTATCATTTTATTTATATTTATTTTTATAGCAAACTACATTGAGAATGTAACAAAAATGTGCCTAGAAAAAAAAATCTGTACCATTTCAGTACCTAATGGAAAGAGAAACTTGCCTCTGGTCAGAGCAAAGCAGAGAATATGCAGCACTGCCAATCCCTTTGCATCCTAAATTGTAATATCTCCATACTTTTGTAGTTCTAGGGTTTCAGTTAAGTAGAGACTGCCAGTCATGCCAAATTAAATAATGGCTCTTGTGGAGAAGTCTGCTAAAGATTATATACCAAACTCTTCTGAGGCATGCATGCCTAATGGTAGATACTCGTATCAGAGCAGATTTTGATCACAAATTTTAAACCTTCTAGTACCATTTTGTGACTGCAAGGAATTCCTAGACCTAATTTTAATGAAATGCAAGTTGATTAACCTAGAGGCATGCATTCTTTTTCCCTGTGTTCACCTGTCCATACTCTCTGTGCTACAAATACGTATATTTATATACTTATTATAAAGAAATATTTTTTTTCTATTTGTTATGCTAATTTTTAAACATTATGTGCATCATAGTTTGTTTTCCAGATGGCCATCCAAACAACTGTACTTCATTTAAAAAGTGTTCTGTAATAAGTGTCTTTACCACCTTCTTGTAGGTTTGGTATGTAGTGTGCTAAGAGCTGTTGCAACTTTTAAAACACACAGGGCTCTGAAATTCATTCCCCATAGCAGTTGTGAACTTGGTTCTAAAACTGAAACAGTTTTGGAGCATAATAACATGTATTAACTTGTATTATATCTTGTACAAGTGCCTAGAAAATGCTCTCTGTTGCTTCGTTCATAGAAGGGAATTGCTTCTTCTGCTCATGATAAATTAAAGATGGTTAAACTTCTGGGGAGAAAATGCAAGCGTTTGAATGGTGTATGATGTACTGGTATGGGCTCAGCTCTTTAGTCACAAATGGGATGTCTGCACTAAACTTTTTTTTTTTTTTTTAATTCTCTGGGTGTCCAAACAATTAACAAATGGTAGGAACGTTAGTGTAGACCACTAGCTCAAAGCAAGTCTATGTGAAATGGTAGGTCATTTTAATGTCTGCTCTGTTGGTAGCTCTTCCACTAATGGTAGCAATGGAAGAAAGTTACAGGTAAAACGGTAGATTATCCAGAGGTCTAGTCTTTGTCCGCTGACCAATGAACTTCTCTCCCTGAATTTGTTTGTTTGCCTTGTCTCTCTTTGGTATAATCTGATGACAGGTGCGAACATGCAATGGTAGAAGGAGGCATGATTTGTGAGCCTGATCCAGCCTGTTGGGGTAGCCCTGCGCTGTTCATTTGGCCTATGGACTGGCCCTGTGCCACTCATCTGGCCCTGAAGGCCAAATGAGTTTAACACCCCTAGTTTAATGAAATCAGGGGAAACTGATTAACTTAGCCTATATTGTAGTAGCTGTAATTTTCTCATGTTAGAGGTTATTGCTGGTTAGCCTCAAATGAAGAGGCAGCCGGGTAGAAATGGAGACATCTTGAAAAAGAGTAAGGTAGTTGGGATATTTTTCAAATGATATATTGAATTCATTAAAAATGCAACTTTAAACCTTTACTTAAAGCAAGAAGTTTAATAATTCTTGACAAAACAAACATTTTTGTCCTTGTAGCAGGGACTCCAAAATAGCTAAATTTGATGGTAACTCACAGTGAGAAACTAAGTAAACAATGGGACTTTTAAAGTACAGTAAAGAAGAGGATGTTCAACTGGCAGCATAAAGGAAGCTAGCATTGTAAAACAACATCCTCCACCTCTCCAGCCTCTCTTGACTATTTTATCAGTAAAAAATATTACAAAAAAAATTGCTCAAGGCAGTTGTATTTGAAGCGATGTGTATGAATGTATTTATAGTTTCACAGTTTTAAAATGTCAGAAAATTATAATTTAATAAATATGTTAGATGCAGTCTACTTCAGTATTTGAGTAATGGCAAAGAAGGAACTCTGTTTCTCTGTAACAAGAATCCATTTTGATCATCTGGATGCTATGCAGTTAATGAGCAGCCGTTTTAGTAAAATAGTGGGTTTTTAAGAATTTAGACTTTGTCCACTTCTCAGCAGAATCCATTCCTATATTTAAAATTAAAGGCATTTTTATACAAATGGAGTCAGACTCTACAGTAAAATAAAACTGCAGTATCATAGGACACTTACTCCAGAAGTGGATCTTCTTGAGAAAATAGTTCTTTCAATGACTACCATAGATCTGGATTCAGGTTGAACATTACAATCAGAAAAAGAGCAACATTAGGAATATCCCAGTCTCAGAGTCTCCAGGTATACTGGTGTTTTTTGTTTTGTAACCATGACATTTCTAACTTATATGCACAGATGAAAATATGGATCAAGGGGCACAATGTTTTGCTGTGCATTTGGGTTGCGTGCCACTTATGTTCATTTTATTGAAATGTGCCATTATGATTCTGTGTTATGGATCGTGAAGGTAGGTAGCACTTTGTCACTACAACCATACTGCAATCTCTCTAACAGAGAAATTAAAGTTCACTTTCCTTTCTTTTCTTTATATTTCCCCTTTTCCTTTTGCTTTCCTATTCTTTTCCTTTGCAAAGCCTCTAGAAATTCATCACAATACAATTTAAGACCATCTCAGAACAGATCAGCTATGATGGTCAGTTTAATCTAAAATACTTGTAAAAACTGTACAAATTTTGCTTGCATTGGCCTTCAAAAAAAAGTGGGAAGGAATGTTTGATGTTTTCAGTCTGAAACGTATAACCAAAAGCCCAACTGACTGATAAAAATGAGGAGCAAATATATCAGCCCACTTACCCAACTGCCTTTTGGCTCTTTAGAAGAAATCTCACTTTTCAAATGATCACTAAAAGCCACAGCTGAGAAACCCAATTTGATCACCATTATTTTTCCTGTTCCTTCCCCCCCACCTCTATAGTTGTGTTATTAAATGGCTTTTTAGTCTGGTATAGCATGCTCCATATCAAGACTTGAAATGTATTTTTGCATCAGATTTCAGGATTTTGTTGTTTTGGGTTTTTTGGTTTTTTTACCGACAGGCTTCATTTTAAAAGTGTGGTTGTTTGGCACAGCTGAAAACTGAGTGGGCTTTCATCTTTAATAAATTCCTTCAATTCTAACAGCCTGAAGGCAGCTTTCCTGCTAACCTACCAGGTTGATTATTGCACAGTATGTTGTTGTGTGGGAAATGAGAAGTCAGGCCTTGAGCATCCTTAAGTTAACACAGACAGGAAGCTCTGGGGAGAGAGGGAGGGAGGGCCGGAGGTTGAGACTAGCAGTCTCTCTGCCACAAGTACAGGTTGATCCTACAATAAGCCTTGAGGCTCTGAGGAATAAATGCAAATCAAGCAGGACATCTCAGAAAATAAACTTGTTAATATAATAGAGGGAATATGGAGACTGGCACATTCTATCGCCCCCCCCCCCCCTTTTATTTATTTTATTTTATTTTATCTTATTTCATTTGTTTAGTGTTGTAAATGACCAAAAAAATCAATAACCCCAGCTTCTCGAATGTAATACTTTTTTTGTAGAGCTTTATTATTAAACTATTAAACTAAATGTCCAGCTATCAAGCCCTGTCTGTATTAGCCATCTTGACTGCATCCTTGGTTTTCAGGTGTCAGGAGTTTGTGTTAAAGCATGAGATGAGGAAGGGGTGCTTCAAATAAAACATGAATGTCTGTGTATGTTGTGAACCAGAAATCTTCCTTGATTCTTCTTGTGTTTTCTCTCAGACCTTGGTGCTTCATGTTTTCTTTCTTGGATGTCTATTTTTACTGTGTCAGAAGCTGTCTGCTGCTTTTAATTGTATTATTGCTAAATGTTCTTTATCATTTTTTACAGATGATAACAAAAGTACTGTGTAGTCATTTTATATTCCTCTGTTTTCTCCCTATATGTGTCTGACCATAGCAAAGTTTGGCCACTTCAAGTTGGGTCATTAACTCCATTATGTCTTTGTTTCCATTTTTTAACTGCTTGCTGCTATTTATCTTCAGTGTATCTTGCAATTTTAGAACCATTTTTGTTCAAAGAACAAATTATGATCTGTTACTACCTAAATTCAGGCTTAGATTTCAAGGTGTATGTAGAAAGATTTTTTTTTTTGAAGTGTAGTCATCAAAAATTTTTTGTAAAATGGCACTTTTTTGCTTACTCGTCACTCTGGATGAAATTTCAGCATGGTGTACTCAGCAGTATGGTTTCCATTAATTTCCACTCCCATGCTCATTTCCCCTCCCCCCGGGAAAATATCTGGGTATTCAAAGTCATGTTTGCTTTACCTCATTGAAGAGAGACTTTTTATTCCTGCTGTTATCAAGAGAGCCAATACAGCAAAATTACTTTTTTCTGTTTGCAGAATTGCTAATTCAATTCCATTTGCTAAATTCTCGTCACTAGTCAAAATTCCTGAGCAAGACTGGCTTTCAGATCCCATGGCAAATTTTGTAGGCACAAAAAGGTGGTCTTTTTACTAAAAAAACTGAGTAAATTCTACTTAAGGTACTGAACAAAAATCACCAATGAATTGTCATTTTTGTGGTATAACTGCATTGTAAAGTAAGTTTAATAAAATGGGAATTATTTTTTTTAATGTGCTGGAACAAGAACTATATTATTTGGAAAAATAAATTGCTATTTCATGATCACTGCCTAATTCAAGAATGCTGGTTTTATTTTTAATGTTTATTCCTATGTTTTAGTTACGTGTTTGAATTTTATTTTTAGATTAAAATGAAGCATTCCACATGAGCAATTGCTAATTTATAATTGGATAATCATCTTGAGTGCATAAATAGAAATCTGCCCTTTGCAATCAAGTATGAGTACAATGTTTGGAGTTGGTTTTAGGCTGAAATCAAAGTACGTATTCTGTTCAAATCACCTGCCCACTTCTTTTCATCAAAACTGAATGTGGCATACAAGAATGTTATTCTTTCTAACTGAACATTACCAAACTGCATTTTCTAGTAACAAAAACCCCCATTTTATCGTTTTTCTAAACTCTGTTCCTCTACCAGTTTGGGGGTTTTTATATTCCAGGTAAGTCATTCATAATTGTTGCCTTATCCTGTGTCAGATACCCAAGTCAATTTGCACAAAAAAACCTGTTTAGGCT